TATAAGTTGAAAATTTGAAATTTGGGGAGCTTAAACAAGGCAACTTTTTGAGTTTTTTAAAAGTAAATTGCGTTACCAGTCACTTCCGGTTTAACCGGAAGTGGCCATAACTTTTGATTTTCAAATAGGAAACCCGGTATTTTTTAAGTTTTCTGGCATCAGCAGATCATTTTAAGTATGGTAGGACCATTTTTGGCAAATTTTTAACAAAAAAATTAAATAAATTGAATTAATTTTTAGAAAAAAAAATTCGGCGCTGCCACTGGAGTAAATTGATTTAGTTGGATATTCTTAATATCAGGAAAGTCTGAACCTTCAATTTTTTGCTAACTGAACCCATAATTTCAGATCAAAATTAAACAAAGAGGTGTTTTCAAGGTATTCCATATTTTTCAAATGTAACCACGCTGGGACCTATCAATTTTTTGAAACTAGATTTTTTTCCCTATTTTTTGATATCAACATTTTTAAAATCCGCTGAAAAAAAACTCAACAACTTTTGAAAAATCCTTATTTTTAAATGAAATTTTTTTTTTTGGTTTTGTTATAAATCTTTCAAAAATGTTCCTATCATACGTAAAATGATCTGCTGATGCCAGAAAACTCAAAAAATACCGGGTGTCCCATTTGAAAATTGAAAGTTATGGCTACTTCCGGTTTAACCGGAAGTGACTTGTAACGCAATTTACTTCTAAAAAACTCAAAAAGTTGCCTCGTTTAAGCCCCCCAAATTTCAAATTTTCAAATTATATATTAAAAAAGTTATAGGCTGTTCCCTATTCATTGTGTCACCCTGTATGTGCCGAATTCAAAAATTTAAAAATATACAAAGTGTTCCATTTAAAATAGCGATGTTGCTACTGGTTTAGAGTAGAAGCGGCAACACCACATGGTCAAAAATATTTTCAAGGGTAGATCCATCATAGTCGTTTATCCCGGTTTCCAAATTTTCACAATGATCCGCTATTAATTTCTTAATAAACTAGGGCTGTAAAAGTAACGAAAATTTTAATTAATACTCGTTCGTATTTGATATTAATATTCGTTACTAAATATTCGTTACTAAATATTCGTTACTCGTTACTTCCGTTACTCTAGTATTCAGAGGATAGGAAAGATACCTACCTATGCGAAAAAGTAGAAAAGTGACTCATTCGCCATTCGCATATGTTCCGATTATCGAATAAGTATTGTCGGGATTCGTATTTTCAATATTTGACAATAATAAATATACCCAAACTGTCTAAAAATATTTAAAAATTTGTTTATAGAATTTATATGAAAAATCTTTGGTAATGTTCAAAAAAGCAAAACATTTCGTAGAGATGCGACTGATGCAAGTAACGAAAAGCGGCCGACAGTAACGAATCCGTATTTCAAATCCGAGACAATACTCGTTACTCAGTAACGAATACATACAGTTTGTCACAGCCCTACAATAAACGTCTAAAGGTCTGGACACACATGACCGCACCGTATCCGCACCGAGCCCGCACCGAGTCCGTGCAGTAACACGGCAGTGTGTCGCTCAATAAGGTAAAAGCCACACATTTCCAACACACGGCCGCATGACGGTCGTACTATGATGAGACCTTATCCTGGAAGGAACTTGACAGATGAGAAGAGGATATACAATTATCGTTTAAGTCGAGCAAGAAGAATATCCGAAAATTCATTTGGCATTTTAGAGCAAAAATTTCGAATATACAGTAGAAGGCTTCAAGGAAAACCTGAAAACCTAACAATGTATATTCTGTGCACCTGTGTTTTGTACAATTTTATTCGAAAAAATGAAAGCTACGAGCTACCCGAACAGGGAATCCGTCAAAATGAACAAAATGAAACATCCGACAGATCGTCAATTCTAAGGGATCTTCCTCGCCTTCGTGGAAGAGCAGCAAATGCCGCATTTACTGTCCGAGAACAGCTGACAACTTTTTTAAATTCTCCAGAAGGCAGTGTAGACTGGCAAGAGGAAATGGCCTTGGCAGTTTGAAAAATTAGTATTACATAATATTTATCAGATAAAATACGATAAAAATTGTACCCGGTTTTTATTTGTGAGGAAATGTAAACAAAATATTTTATATGGAGTCTTATTTTGGTGGAGATATATATCCTTTTGAAAATAAAACCTCACTTTCAGATTCACCCTGTATAGTAGGTATAATCAATTTCAACCTATTTTAACAGGATTCTTAATTGAAAATAAAACATATGTATTTTGACTTACCCTTTATTTCTAAATGCGTAGCAATTAAAGTCCATACCCTTTCCTTATATTCAGCATTCCTATATTTTTCATTTCTTTGGTCGTACAATACAGGATACTTTTTGACTTCTTCTATCAGTTTCTCCATTTCTGCAACGCACCGTGCCCGTCAAAAATTAAACAAAACTAATCTCGCACGGTACGGACGCGGTGCGGTGGTGTCACTCGGGCTCGGCGCGGGCACGGTGCGTAGATGTGAAGACTACGACATAAGAAAACACGGTACAACTATTCACCGAGACACGGCCGTGTCTCGGTGCGGGCTCGGTGCGGACTCGGTGCGGTCATGTGTGCCCAGACCTTAATACGCCATCCACCGTGGGACACCCATACATAGGGTACATTCAACAAGCGTCTGCGGATCACACGGAGGCAACGCCACGAATATGGTCGAAAGTGTACGAACGAAACTTTTAAAATTTGGTGCGACGAGACAAACGGCGGCTCCTTAGCATTTTTGTTTACCGTCTCTTTATTTATTTGACACAAAATTATTAATTATAATTCCATAGTTTTTCTTATTATCAATGACATGAAAGGGAGTTTTCGAGAAAGTCTCACCCAAAAAAACACATGGAAAACACAATTCACAACAAAAATACTTACATCTACAAAAATAATGAAGTCCATAAGATGCCCATTTAACTGTGATTTTATTACCGACAGCAAAGACATTATTGTTTTACATATTACAAAAATTTTCACGGTAACAACTTAGACCCCAAGCCAAGAATTTAACATTTAATAATAAGGAAGACTTTTTTGAGTGGAAAAGAAAATTAGAGCAAGATACTATCAGAGCACAGTTTATAAAATATGGAACTGTTGAAAGGAAAAATGGTACAATAATTATTTATTTTATTTTTCACCGAGATGGAATTTTACATAAACGCATTAAATTCACATTACGTATAGGTATTAGGCTTACATAAACAGGCTTTATCGAATATCGATTTATTATTTAATAGCCTTGCTCGCAAGCTCGCTCGGTCATAAAATTATTCGTACAATAAATCCTTTCTTTATTGTACTGTAGTTGTTATTTAATGTTATTTATATAAATAGCTATTATTCAACAATCTAGATTGAACACTGTGTCTTTCAAAATCTTACAGAAACAGCTTGGTTGTGATACAGCCTACAAATCAACTGTGAAGGGCGAAGGGCGATGTATCATTGGATTGTTCCGCCTGACTTATCAATTATTTTTTTGTACCCGGGTCCCAGCTTGATACCCCATCCCGAAAAAATTAATTCTCATTAGTTTTTCTAAAATTTTCAGTTATATATTATCGATATTTTATGAAATGGAAATTGCAAAATAATCCTAGAATATAACAATAATATTCATCAGGATTCAGGACAAGGAGGCGGAGGCGTCAAAAAACAAGCAGCAAAAACGTTATGGGCGCTGTATTCGTGGCGTTGCCTCCGTGTGATCCGCAGACGCTTGTGTACATTCAGGCGATGCCAGCGGCTAAGTTCAGCCACTCAGCAGGAACTTTATTCTCGAAACAGGGAAGCAGCGTTCTCATGAGAACGAAAATTCTGTCTTCGTCATATGTATTCATGTTTCCATATTTAATACCTTTTTAGAAGTACCGGTTGTTCTAGTGACTAAACGTATGTCGCTTCTTGAACACACAGACAAAACTAGGTTAGGAACTTCCTATTTGTACATGAAATTGACGTATTAGCAATCGACGTTCCTTTTTGTTGGTAAATATGTATAACACAGACAGCGACAGAGCAATCGTTCTCATGAGAACGCTGTTCCTCGGTTTCGAGAATAAAGTCCCTGCTGAGTTGCTGAGCTTAGCCGCTGGCACCGCCTGACTAGTCGTGTTCTTTCTACTCAGGATCTCTCAATAGTTTCAATATTAGGTGAGTTCGGCTTGCTCACTCCGTGCCCTCTGAGTGACTCCATTCGCACTCCAGCCGATCGGGTATTGCTTTTTGGCGTATTAGGGGTGACTCCATTAGCGTTCGACTATACGAAGTGAAGTAAATGGAGTTCACTTCAAAAGTTCCACCTCGGACAGAGAATTTTTTAAAGTGAGCATGCGCCGAAGTGAAATGTGGAAACTGTCAAGCTTGTTGTGTTGTCACGGTGTGGTTGTGGGGGGGCTAGCGTTAATCTGCCTCCCCTCCCCTAACGATCGCAACCCCTGCTATTTTCGCGGGGGTTGGTGCGCTAGCTTTTAAAAGTGGTGCGCTAGCCTGCGCTAGGTGTCCTTATTCTGCGCTAGCATTTTGAGCAAGAAAAATTAACTGGGGGGGGCTAGCGTTAATCTAGCCCCCCCCGATCTCATTCCCTGCTATGACCACAGGGGTTGGTACGCTAGCTCTTAAAAGTTGTGCGCTAGCCTGCGCTAGGTGTCTTTATTCTGCGCTAGCATTTTGAGACAAAAATATTAACTGGGGGGGGCTAGCGTTAATCTGGCCCCCCCCGATCGCATCCTCTTCTCTTTCCGCGGGGGTTGGTGCGCTAGCTTTTAAAAGTGGTGCGCTAGCCTGCGCTAGATATCCTCTATCTGCGCTAGCTTTTTGAGCAAAAAAAATCAACTGGGGGGGGCCAGCTTAACTGAGCCGAAAAAATGTGTCAAACTAAAAATAAAGGGACACGTTTTTTTTTTAAATTTTTCCAGAAAATGAATAGGCTTTCTGATACTGAATTTATTTCATTTAAAAATTCCACCCTGTATATAAAACACCTATAGACTCTTACGTGCTTGAAAATCGACGCTTAAACTTGAAGTACAGCCAGGTACACAGAGGCAAGGACTTCGATCACAAACGTAAGAGTTTACTGAGTATGTTACATTTGGATAAATCCCTGTTGTATTGGAACCTGCAAAAATAATAAAAAAAAGTTTTTATCGATCCAATGAAAAAATTCTATCGAAACAACGGACTTACAAGTATTCATTTGTGTTATTGCCAATGTGGGAACAGAAAGAATCCCGATGAACGAAACTATATTTACCGCGAAACTCATTTTATATAGGTACCTACTTAGTCAGTTGTTTATGATAAGCAGTTTTCTACTCAACTAAAGTAGTAAATCAAAATCTCTCTTTAAATTCTAAGTTATCTGTAAACCACTTGTTAAAGCAGGTGTCCGATTTATTATTAAAGTTAATGGGTATGCGTCTTACATTTTTTTATATATCTATAAAATGAAATGATAAATCACGTGGCAAAAGTCCCTTTCTGAAACAATAGATAAAAATGGTTTTTTGTTGTTAGATAAAATTATTATTATTATCAGGCAATAAGATTAGGCGTGTTTATACAGGTGATACAATATATACACTTTTATATTTACTTTTGAGCTTTTTGGCTAATCGTGAAAATAAACAACGTATCAAAAAAACTAACTCTATATTCCAAAAAACATAGGTGAACATCTGAGCCTTACTATCATCGTTATAGAGGAAACGATAAAAGAAATTAAAAAGCTATTAGTTATTGGTAAAGTTTCGGGGCAGCAAAAAACCGCACAAGTATAAGATAATCTGTCAAACTCCTCCGGGGCGTATACGTCGAAATTGCTGATTATGTGTTTAACGATCCTTGAAAAAAATATCCAGAAAGTTTTTGTTATCTGCGTTGTCGACGAGGATACGACGAAGGATAAATTATTTACACACGATGTATCCAAAATTCAAATCTCATACCCATCGGCTATCGGTCTTAATAGTAAAAAGGTCACAAGATCCGTTTCATATTAAACCATTAGATGAGCTGCAATAATTGCTTGGGTTATGCGACCTAATTGACCTTTATGGATACCTAGTAATTAATCTTGCGGATGGATGTGATAGCGCGCTGCACTTTAATTAATTAGAAACGATTCTTCCGTGGAGCAAATAACAAATACATTGAACACAATTGCAGTTTAATTTATAAATGAATATATGAAGAAAAAAAAACCATAATGGCATTCTAATCTTTTAGAATATTTCAATGAACTAGGTATAAGTAGGTAACACAAAAAAACATATTACACAAGAAAGAAAATTCAATAGAAGTAACAAAAAAGGAATTATATTAAAAATATATTAAAACTTGGTATAAATTTAATCACACAAGAAATAAAGTATCCACAGATGGTCAAATGAAGTAAAAACTTATTACATCTACTCATCTGTTACGTTTTACTCATACAACGAACGATTAAGACCCTAACGAGTTTAAGATCGAAAATAGCCTAATGAAAAAACGCTCCCATCGAACTCCAGAGGATAAATTGGCTCTACCAAAATTGATCGATAGTCCGGTTTTAAATTACATTTTTCTGAAATGCATTTATTTATTGTCTCCATTTTTCCAGGCCTGTTTCTAAATGGAATAACAATTCGCCAAACTCAATATGTCTTTTTCTTACAGGCTCAATTTTGGATTTTATCTTGAAAATCTCAATGCCGGCAATCCCATAAGAAATATTTCATAAAAACACTAAAAGAAAAATATATAGAAAAAAGGTTTCAATAAAATGAATTTATTTCGTCTGTTAGGCCTGAGAGTGTCCAAAGGTTTATTTATGTAAGGAGAATATATTATAAGGAAGGGTAGCATACATGGACTATTGCTTTTTATAATACATTCGTTCCGCTTTTCTGTATTTGGTTATACTTAAAGGGGGTGTGACCCAAAAATGAAAGTTTTAGTTTAGTGCAAAAAAATCTAAGAATAAATATTTAAACCGCATCTTGCTATGATGGTCCGTTTTCGAGTTAGGGCAGTTTTAAGTTACAACTAGGTGGTTGTGACGTCGCACTGGATTATCAAGGACAGTATTAACACGTGTAAGAATTTTCCAAAACAAAAGACAATTGCGAATTGCAACCACTCAAAGTATAAGGTACGGTTCACTGAGGACTGAACGAACAGAAGACTGCGATTTCGGCGGTTGTGACATCACAAGTTCCTGCATAATTTATCTTCACAAGGAATTTTCTCGAAGACTATTTTTAATATAGGACTGCGGTTTTCACGAAAGATTGCGTTCATTTTGGATTCTACACGAATAGATTGCGGATACATAAAGGCCGGTATTAGTAAGTAGTTTTAAGTTTTAAGATTGACTGTGATACGATTTAGATAGTACATATTGTAAGAGTTGTAAAGAGTTAAGTTGTTTGAGTTAATTAGTCAAGTAATTAGTATCAGAGTGTATAGTAACGTGGAGTAAATTATTGTTGTGTTAATTGGACTTTGATTTTGGAATAAACGAACCCAAGGTTTCTGTCACGCAAGCAGAGTCGTGACATTTGTGTCAGAAGTGAGATATAATTCGAGGACTGCAAAGTGAAATCCGATTGCAGAATAGTACGGACTACTGCGGACGCTAGTGAAGACACTTGGTGAGCACTGGGACAGTTAATCAGTGTAAGCAGTGACAATCACCAACAGAGATACTTAACCGATTGTGTAAATTATCCCGGAAGTGACTGTATACCCGATTTTGACTGTGATGGTGAATTTTCAAGTAAGTTCTAGAAAATATATTTGGAAACCAAGGGAGATATCGAATTTGTGACTTCACCGATGTATTTACTATATCAATCGACATTCAGAAAAGACATTTCGAGAAAATTCTAGAACATTCTATTCGAGAATAAAGCAAGTTATCCAATTTGTGACTTCACCGACGTGTTCGGAACTTCAAACAAAGACCAGGAAAGATATTTGAAGAAAGTTTGAGGAAAATTCCAGAACATTCTGTAAATGCCCATTACGAGACAAGCAAAAATGAAAGAACAAAAAATTGAAGAACTTCTGCGCAAAATAATGGAACTTCAAGAGACCAAACGACAACAAAAAAAAAACAAAGACGAAGAGGCCAGGCGACAAAAAGAAAAACAAGAGGAAGAAGCTAGATGACAACAAGAAGAGAGTAAATGACAAAAAAAATCAAGAAGAAGAAGCTAAACGACAACAAGAAACACAAGATGCAGAGGCCAGGCGACAAAGACAAAAACAACAAATGAGGCTAACTGGAAAACCATCAGTTGATACGGGTGCTGAAGTTAATTAGAAGAACATTAGTCAAGTCTCGGGCGATCCAACCGCTTATTAGAAACCTGTCACTACGAACAGTCACGGGCGAATCAGCACCAGTTCAAGGAGAAGCTATGGTTAAGCTTACTTTTGAGTTTACCCCCTTTAGGCACAGAACATTAGTCGCCGATATAGAAGATGATTTTATTTTGGAAATGAATTTGATCGGCCAACATGATTTCTCTTTCGATCCTTTGGTAATGAAGAATTTGTCCTAACTACACAGTCCCAAGCCGTTAAGATCCTGGCCACAAACCCAGTGGCAATTCCTGGAAGTACTGAGAAGATCATTTGCGGAAAATTGGAAACAAACCCTGGGTGCTGCGTTGGACTAACACATAATTTTATTGGAGAAAAACCAGAAAAAACTCTGGTTGGAAAGACTCTGGTGAGAACAAATGAAGATTATGATAAGAATTGCAAATGTTTTTTCTGAATCAGTAAAAATAAAAGAAGGAGACATTATTGGAATTCTCGAACCAGTTAAGTGAATATGGAACTGTGACGTACCAGATAAGCGACTTTTCGAAAAATCGAAATAGGGTACTTGCATCAATTTTTTTTATTGGTGATTTCGTTAATCCATAAAAAATAAGTCACACGTGTTTTTTCTTTTGCTTCTTAGTCAAAAATTGACAGAGATACAACGCTATGAAATATGCCTATGACGTCACTTAACATATAAATTAGTGACGTTGCACATGCTCAGTATATCTATATATACAAAACTTAATATTTGTATAACTTCCGGAATAATCATATTTGGGCGAAATTAAAAAAAAGTAACGATTTTTTTTCGATTTCCTACAATTTGCAATAAACAATAATCAATTTAATTTTCCATGCAAGTACCCTATTGAGAAATCATGGATACACCTCGATCCAGATTCAGGAAGCCACAGATTCGAACTTGAAAGAAGCAGACGTATTTGTGATGGATAATCCAAACGGATGGACCAGTTTAATTCAACTCAAAATTGATACTGGATTGGCACACCCAATTAGGCAACCACCTCGACGTATGCCAGTAGCCAAACAACAGGAAGTGAAATTGATAAAATGCTTCAAGAGGAAATTATTGGAGACTCAAATAGTCCATGGTCTGTGCCAATAGTGTTGGTTACGAAGAAAGATAGAAGTCTTAGGGTACGCACACTGTAACCCTTTTTATTAATGAATTAATTAAGGGTTCATAATGTGCTCAGTTAGCTCAGCCTAAAAAAATATTAGGGGTGGGTTCGGGTGGGTTGATTGTTTATTCAGTACAGAATGGCGCGGGCGCCACTGAATTTATTAAAATTTAATTAAAATTATAAAACTGCACAAAATATGGAAGTGTGAAAATTCAGAAACACACCTAGAAAATAATAAGCAAAAGGTAATCAGTAATCCTGAAAAAAAAATAATAATAATGTACACAACTCAACTCTTGACCTATGAGAAACCAATAAAACAATTGAGCCAAATTTCAAATTAAAACAGTGTATATTTCAAAGTTAGTAAACAATAATTCAGTATTGGTTTTTGCCAAAATGTAAGAACAATTATTAATGGTAAGACACCGTTCACTTATTCAAAATGACGAAGTTAAACTTTAATGTAATTATTTAAGTTCAAAGAAGAAATAAAAATAATGATAATAATAGCATAACAGCGAATTGTACCTCAATATACTTGCCTCATAAATTTATTAACATTAATTGCCAGTACTATTAATTTGGAAGGAAAATATTAAGATTTACTTTTCCGGAAAGCCAATTACAAAAATTGAATGATTAAAAAAAATTCAATCAATGAATATGGTGAACCTTTGCAAAAAATAAATTTAAAAAAAAAACTGTACCTGTAAAAAAAAATCAAAGGTTGGATTACAAACCACCTGGTCGACAAAAGGAAACTCTCCGGTGTATTACGTTATAAAAGCCCTCGTTCAAAATTGATCAATTTTCAACAAGCCATTATCTAAGAATTATAACTCAGAATTGCCTAACCTCAACCCTGATTCAGTTCACTTACAAGGTTAATGAAATTTAAGGCAAGATTGAAAGTTAAAAGTTA